TTACTTGAAAACGGTTGTAGTCATGGCAACCTATTTTTATCAGTGCATAGAGAATGAATAGGGCTTTCTTTTAGTGCACTTAAAAAAAAGTTAAGTTGTGTACGACCGCCCCTATGGATATCCAAATTTATGAAACTTCAAAGACTAAAAACTCAGTTTTTTTTAAATGGAATGGCCATGTTCTTACTATTCTATGAGATAGAGAATCGAAATGGGCATATTTTGACAATACATGTTCCTATAGCTATCTTTAACAGTTTCTGACTTATTCCCATTTTATTGAATTGACACTATTTTTTTCGGATTTTCTTTTTAGTAGTCGACCATGATTCTATAACAATTGACTTTTAAACAAATCTAGTGACACTAATCCATCACCCACTGATATAGGTTAACATAAGTTTTTTAAAAAATCGAAAAATGACTCGCAGTGGTTTCACCTATTTTGGAATTTAATTGTTATTTATGGTGAAATGGGCAGATTCGCGGCGCGTGCTTTCGGTACATTCATTCGAAACCTGGAACGAAATTGTATGAATTTTGGAAATTTTGTACCCCCAAATGCACTACAAACCGTTAAAGCACAAGCGATACAAAGCTCTACAAGAGAATATTTAAGAAAATGAATTGAATTGCAAATGCAAGATTAACAAAATAAATTCAATGCAGAATATAAAAAAATTCGTTGAAACATTTTTGGTATGGAATTGTTGCTAGAACAGATACCGCATTACTTCTCTTAATTTCCAGACTTATACGTTGTTTAAGAAATTCAGTTGAACGACTGTTTAGATTTTTCAAAAATTTTCCGTCCTATATCCTTAATAAATGAGTTATTTATTAATGAATTATTTAGACTAGAACTAGATTCAATGGTATTAAAGAATCCATTCCTTGATTTGTTTAAAATTCGATTGTTATAAAATCATGGCCAACTACTAAAAAGAAAATGCGAAAAAAAATGGCATCAATTCCGAGATCAATTCAATGAAATGAGAATAAATCAGAAACTGTTAAAGATAGCTATACGAACATGTAATATCAAAATATGCCAATTTCGATTCTCTATCTCATGCAATATTAAGAACATGGTCATTCCATTTAAAAAACTGAGTTTATAGACTTTGAAATTTCTTAAATTTGGATTTCCATAGGTGCGGTTGTACGCAACTTAACTTTTTTTTAAGTACACTAAAAGAAAGCCCTATTCATTCTCTATGCACTGATAAAAATGGGTTGCCATGACTATAACCTTTTTCTAGTAATCAATTATCAAGGTACCATCTGCATCCGCCATTTTTTCCTTAAAGTCAAAATAACTTAAAAACCATAAATGGCAGATATCGACATATGGGTATCAAAAGAACTGAAATTTCACGTAGAATCCAAAAATGCAATAAAAAATAGGGGTTGCAATTTAAAATAACGGAATTACTATCTACTTCCGGTGTTTCCGGAAGTGCGGACATTTTGAAAATATTTTACATAGATTCGGCCTTCAGAGTAACTCGTAAGTACAAATTTTCAAAAACCTACGTATTTTACTTTCCCAGAAACGTTTAACTAAAGCTCCCAAAAAAACACCCTGTATATGAAAATATTTGAAAAAGATTTTTTCCATGAAATTTGAGATGGGAGTTCTGGATAGTTTCGAATTGATCTACAGGAGGCAACTATTTAGTATAACATGTATCTGAATTAAACTATAATGAATATTTTAAGCTCTTATTTCAGATAAGTATTGATATACAAATTTTGTTTCAATAATTATACTTTCCTTAATTTCTCCGATTTCCATTGAAATCTCTATGGTGTGTGAACCAGTTCTACACCCTGTATGGGAATATGAGTATATGAGAACTATTTTAATTACTTATCAAGAACTATGAACACTGTATTAAGTGTTGTAAAACTCTACAAGGAAAATAAACATCTCAATATACAGTGTGTACCAAACAGAATATTGTGTAAGTAAACAACGTCATGTAGACGTTATTCCAGTCTAAGCACCGAAAATATTGACTTGACATCCTGTATACAAAAATATTTCAATTTATTAAGTAAATCTGGTGGATTATTTACAGATAAGTATTTCAGTGTTTATTTTTCTTTTTAGAAATTTGTTACAGTTGTTTTCGCTTTTGTATTCAATTTAGATAACACTTTAGAATTAAGGTTACATCTGGTCGTTTGCGATAAGAATTTTTATTATCAGGCTAAATTTAAATAACGCGCGTGTTCTGTTTCTGATAAGGAGATGCAGATGTTTCGTAGAATTGTGCGTTGGAGAAAGGAAGGTTGGCGCGTTCCGTTGTGATTGGCGATTGAAGGAGTTTCGTTAAATCAAAATCGTGTACACCTGTGTACACTAAATTGCGAGCAGCCAGCCATAATTGTTTTGTTGAAGACGGAAATCGCAGAGATTCGCTTAATTGGAATACCATTTTGCTTAATCGTGATATTAAACTTGGATTAAATTAAATCCTTTTCAACTTTCTTCTCTTTTGTAAATTACTTAATTGCAGCCAAACCAATTTGTAAAGTTTTTGCTTTTGTTTGGGTTTATTTTCTAAATTTCGTGCAATATAAATACCTAATTGGTTCAAATTAGTTGGCTAAATAAGTGAGGATTAATCTACCAGTTTTCACCACTTTGGTTATTAAAGTGATAGTCCTCTATTACTCATGCAAACCTATCTAAAATGAAATACCACAAAAGGAAAATCATGTGCGATTTATGACAGGTTCAATATACGCTGTCTCCGAGATAAGAATGGCCACTATGGGCATTCTAGAAAGAGAAAGAAATACAAATTTGGTTAAATGGGAGAAAAGTTGCGTAATCCAAGGGTTAAGGGTCACAAATCCCTGGAAAATTTGTTAGTTTTTGAAATACAGTAGATTCGCGTTTATGTGAACATTCGCATACATGAACATTCAGTAATGTGAACAACAAATACGGTACAGTTGGTGCTTTAATTCTACGAAAATTGACCGTCAGCGGACATGTTTTTGGTGGCAAACAGAGCTAAAATCTGCTTCACCTTGCGATCATTTTTTCTCCCTCGTTTATCTTTCCTTCTCCAAGGTTCCAATGTAAGATAAACGCACTGTAGATATGAATGAGGGATTTATGAATTCATGAATGCATGGATACCACCTGCAGACCTGCGCGATTATGCCCTTCTTCTAACAATATGCGTACCAAATTTGATTGCAATCGGTTCAGCTGTTTAGCCGGAAATGCTGGTACAGACAAACAGACCAACGAACATCACTGAGATTTTGTGTGATTCAAATTCTTGGTGCTTTAAAACATGTATTACTGTCAAAAAAGAGGGGAGGGGGTAATTTTTACCAAAATGCAATACCTCCCTTACTAATGTGTGGATGGATAAAAATGTGTGCTAACAGAAAACCAATTGAAAAACTACAACCTCTCCATCTCCAATGAAAAAAATGGGTATCTAATTGGATCATGTGAAGAGTACCTTGAGTGGTACCCAAATTTGACACATCATGACCTATAGCGAGAACGAGAAAAAAAAAAAGATATTTATACAACTCACTATCACCTCACCCCCTCTATTGTTGCCAGATACCCTAAAATACGTACTTCATAATCCCTTTTCCACTTTTGAATTTCCTCCTCGTAAACATTTCCCGACTCGTACTTCTGCTTTTCCGCCTTGAGCATTTGCAAATCCCTCTCCAAATCGGCAACGCGCGACCTCGAAGTCTTCAAACGCCCCTGCAGCTCCTCGCACTCGCTAACCTTCTGTTTCGCTAAAAATTGCGCCTGCGAGAGCGCACTCGACAGTTCGGTCTTTTCGGCTATAAGTATTCCGACGGTCTGAGCGTGGCACTGTAGTTGCTCTTGTAAAGGCCCGACCTCACGATTCAACCTGTGTTCGTAGTCGGTCTTGATCTGTTGACATTCGCATTGCAACTGCTCCACCTGACTTTGAGATTCGCGAAGTTGATTACGTGCCGTATGCGAGACCAAACATTCTTGATCCAATAATCTGGCCAGTTCAACGTTCCTCCTTTCCAGATCAGAGTCGTCGTGCGTATCTGGTTCAACCTTGATCAGTTCGTTAATTTCAGAGGACAACTGCCTCAGACTTTCTATATTTGAGTTTACAAGTGATTTTTCCGCCGGAACAATCTCCTCAACTCCATTTGTTGCATCAGTCATGTAGTCGGATAACTTTCTCGCATCTTCAAAAGACACAAATGGATGGTCCACAGGCTTTTCCGTATATACTCCATACGGCTTACTTTCTGTAAGTTCGGGATATTCCAAAGAACCAGGATCACTATGCTTTTCATTAAAAATGGCATTTATATGAGAATCTTGAACGTTACTTATAGGTGGATGGTTTGTATTTGTTTGAAACGATAACGAATCAAAAAAGTCTTTTTGCTCGGTGACCACATTTTGTCTCTCTGGATTAAAGTAATTTTGAAAAGGAGACCTTTGGTTGGTGTCTCCAATATTAGTAGATACAGTTTCTAAAGGCACGATATCAAAACCACCGTTAATGGAACTATGCGTTGAATTACTTAAGGCATCGTTTGTATGTAAATTTTCTTCACCTGTTTCTGGTTTTTTACTTTTTTGTTGATACTCCTTGAGCTGCAAAAATAAATAAGTTGAAGGATGATGATGTGGCCAATTGTTGAACAAGGAATTTATTTAGATTATTGTGAGGATGATCCACTATTTAGCTAATTATTGCTTTTTTAAATTCTTCAAATTATTTGGTGTATTAAACAAATAATCGGCAATATTTACCTTTTTCTTAGCAGCTGCTAACTTTTGTGATTTTGTAGCGTCCGCCATTTTTTTGTTTTTAGATTGCGGACATCAATTTCTTTCAATTCCACCAGAGTCCGCAACTTGCGCAGCACACTATTCCACCACAACCCCACATCATAGATTGAAATATCTTTTTTTGCTCCACATCTACAAAGACCATTATTCCTGATAGTATAAAAATAAAAACTATGAATTGTAATCTTTTTAGACACGGATGGAGACGGTTATATAACGAATACAAAATGTACAGTGTGATTCAACTGAAATCGGCACTATTACAAACTGAATTTATACTAAAAATACTGTTGAGATGTTTATTAGAATTTTAGTGGTTGCGTGGTTTACTTGTTTTGTCAATACACACTTTAGCGGGCGACGGTAAATAAAATGCAACTTGCATTTTATGGAATATATTTATTACAATATGTACAAAATGGTAGCCCAAGGGCACGCTACGAGCTTTTTTTTGGTGAGGCGCAAAGTGAGCTGGTTCTGTAGGCGGAGAGCTGGTTTCTTGAAGCGCCGTTGAAGCCGAAATTGACTTTGCAGAGTTTAGAGTTCTGGTTTTAAACATTTGCTGCCGCCTCAGGTCATATTACTCCAATTCTAAATGGCTGTTTTTTGAGAAAATATAAGTTATACGCCAAATGAAAACGTTGATAATAGATCTTAAAAAAATTTTTAAAAATCGCGAACATTTGGTAACTCCGTAAAAAACAATTCTGAGTCCGTTTTTCATGAACTTTCTACAGATTTGACTAGCTTACGGTTCGATGAATGAAGTTGATTTTTTTACAGACTAATGATAGGTACTGCCAATGACTAGGACCGCCCGTCGAATTCTGGACTAAACTGTTTCTTCAACTGACTGCCTATGGCTACCGATTGTGCCTCTGAGAACGTTCAAAAACCGCCGACCGTGGGCAAAACAAGACTTCAATCTTCTGTCCGTGCGTCCATTCCGCTGACATCACATCTAGAGTTGCTGCCGACTGGCGCTATTTTAGCCCGCTGGAGGCCGACCGGGCAGCACTTAGGCACACCAGAGGCCCATTTGTAATTTGTCATTTGTAAATTTATTTTTCTTTTAATTAAATTTTAATTTTGATTCTGCTGATCGTTTAATTTTAATGCCATTTGTGCGCGGACTTCCTACCGAAGTTCGTATGTTAATAAGAATAAACCACAAAAAAAAAGAGGATAAAACAATTCTCATTTTTTGTTACAAGCCCCAGAACAAAAAACTTTCCAAGCTGAGCACATGTAATTGTTTCAATAAAGATAACCTCTCAAAGCCAAACTAGTGGGGTTTAATTGTAAAAGGTTCAGTTCTATACAAAATTGAGCGTTTTTAAAAAGTACCCTTTCGCTATCAGAAAATAGGTTTGTTTGTTTGCAATGCGCCAATCTTTCCAACGACATCACTATTGTTCAACTAAAAACACCCTAGATTAAAACAGGACTTAAAAAACCAACCGAGAAGTTCTACAATTTTGGTAAAGGGCATCTCTTGCCGCTGGCTTAAATTTAATGATAGAAGAGCATTAAAATTTACATAAATAAACAAAGATTGTCATAAATTTTATTAAGTTTCACCTTTCCCTACATATATCTTTTCTTACAATAATTTCATAATAATATTGAAATAGGAATTATTGAAATACTATTAACTCTTTATGAAAATCAAGGGATAGGTGAATAACGTAAAATAAATCTATCAGCTTATTTTGCATGCTCAACATATTTCATCTTATTAACAATTTCTAAATACAATAAATATATATTTCCGTTACGAAAATAAAATTAAATTAATGAAAACACATTTACAAAATATAGAGTTATGTACATATAAGGACTACCTACACAAGAAAACAGTGACATATCACGATAAATTGAGACGATATATTTTCTAACTTAACATCACATATTTGAACATCAAGCGTATATAGCGTGAGAACGAAATTTGAACGAATTACTAATCTAAATATGTGCCCTTTTAGAATACCGGAGACAAATTTAAAGAGAGATTTTGTATGGTTTTATTCCGAATGGCAGTTCGATTTGTACGAGCCGATTTAATGATTTGTTGCAACATCATTTTACAATCGTGACAGACGACTAGTTGAGATCCTTTAAATTTATCCACCATACCGGCGGCCTTACCTACGGCGTTCGCCTTGGTTTTAAACCTTTTTAGCGCACTGCCCTCACTTAATCTTGACGCGATGCTCCCATCGGAACAATTTGGGCTAAGACCATGATCATCTTCTGTATCCGGATCAGGTGTCACTCTACTACTGCTACTTTCACTACGATGGTCTTCCTCCGGCGTGGCCAATATGCTAGGACTAAGTAGAGCAACGGGTACTCCAGCGAATTGCTCCATGGGTATGTTCATTTTTGAATAGCAACGAAAACAAACAGTCCTTTTGCAAATAATGCAACGTTGGCCCCAAGGACCGAAAATTCCAAAACGTGTTTTCAAACATAAAAAACATACTTTACGATTTTCTACATCACCACGAACCCTCCCTTCGACTGGCAGAGCTTCCAATTCGGCTTTGGTCAGAACAGATCTGATATGAACAATTTCCTCAAGCGTAAGAGAGAGCCTGTCCTCCAAAGACATACCCTCGGGCCAACATTTCCCACTTGCGATTAAATGATCCTGCAATGACGTCGACATTTCCGGCGGTATAGAATCTGCTTCGGAGCTGTTACAGGATTGACGGGAACCTGGCCTCGATTGCGGGACAGACTGGCTTCCCCACATGTGTTCGACCACACCCAACGAGTGACGACGGCTCTGATAACGAGATTCAAAATCTTGGGTTGCTAAATCGTATGCGTCCAATGTCGATTCGCTTAACGGGTTGCATTCCTCATACACCCACAAATTTGGAGGCTCCGTATCCGAATTGTTGCTCACCATTGGTTCGTCCTCGTCATCATCTTCATCTTGCAATTGCGAAAAATCGATTTTTATTAACTTACGCGTAGGCCCTTTCTTAACCGGACGCAACTGACGCCCCTTTCTAATGGAGTTCATGAGTTGTTCGCGGGGTGTGAGCGTGTACACCCGAGGAGGTAGTTTGCGATGAGAAGCCTTCTTTAATGGCGGGCGCGATCTTATAAATTCAAGTATTATCGCGTGCGCATCTTTGGTCACCTTATACGGAATATCACCGTTCACCATAATTTTCTTTAAATTATAGCGACACGCGCGAATGTCTTTCATCATAATTTCATAGGGCGTGAGTTCGTATTCGATCGGAGCCCTACTGTACTGCACCTTCCTGAGTTTTACTCCCAACCGTAATTCGGCAACGACCTGTTGAGGAAACAAATGATTGTGCATTCTAATGACATCTGTCATTCTTATTAAAAATGGGACGCGGAGCATGAAATAAAATGAAATTGAAAATAGAATACAATATTGTTTCCATAGCAGCGACGGGACATAAGTTTGCTATTTTTGACGTCTAAACTAAATTCAGAATTTTCTTAAGCTTTATACCTAATGATTATTATGGCTTCTGCTGTAAAATAAAGTTTTGTCAGGTACGTAATATTGGAAAAAATCGTGTTTGTTTTTTAATAGACCCGCAGTGCTTAATGGGTTCTAAAGTACTAATTATTCGACGTACGAGTAGGTACAGCACTCACGGAGAAAGAACATTTGAAGGTCGAATGCGCACTCGTCCTTTTTTATAAATTTTAAGCGCGGTAATAAGGAATATCCAGTGGCGTAGTAGGTACATAAAAATTTTGTTTGCTTCGTGGAAATATTTAGGCATGTAACATTATGAGTTGTAAGTACACGATCATTGCCGATCGCGCGACGTCACCTGCGCGGCCCGAAACGTTCTTTCTCCGTGAGTCCTGTACATATAGCCTCATACATAACTTTTAAAACTGCAAAATTTTGCAAAATGGCAAAAAATATTTCAAAGAGAAGTTGTATCATAAAAACTCGAGTAAAAACTGTTTCTAATTAATTAAATGTTTGTTAGCTACTTACGTTCGAAAATAAATGTGATGCGCACTATTATAAACCTCCCTATATCACTGAGAGAAATGTAGTATATTATATTGTACATAAACTACAAGATGTACAAGCTACAGGCTACTACTTTCTTATTTGTATGGGCGCCATATTGGATTTTTACGGAATTAGGTAGAGAATGAATGTAAAACATTTGATTTTGAAGTTTACCAAGAAATTGTCATTTTAAACAATCCTGCCATCTTCTTTTCGTCATGAAAACCTACATCTCTACAAAAAAATATTCTAATGTATAAAGTGCAATATTGCACATAATATTTAATATAAGTGATACATCACAATTTAGACAATTTTACGCTCTTTTCAAAAACTGCAAAATATATAGGGTGGTCTGTATGAAAAAATTTAGCGGCCTAGCGGCCAAACGATTAGAAATAGCTGAATTCTGTTGGCGCCTCTTTAAAATTGAACTCCATACACCTAGGTCCACTTTACTCTATCTCTTAAAATAAAGGGTGTTTCTATAAGAAAGTGTCCACTTTGGCCCACCCTGTATCCTGGTCAGTAAACATGTACTATACCTGCATCCAAAACCGTGCCCAATCTGCGAACTGCAACTGTTCCAAACCAGACGAATTCACACTGTCCGTAGCGACCTTTTCGAGGAATGACGAAAGTTCGAGGCCTTCGGAGACGAGTGCGCGTACCACAGCTTTATAGTGAGCTTCAACTTGGGGTTTAGTAAGTATCGGCAGATGTTTCTCGCACATTCTCATTATGTGCCTTATATTTCTCTTGGGACTCTCCGCAAGATCTTCACCTTCTTCCGTGTCATTTTCGATTCCCTCATCATCAGTTTCGTGATGTACCTCAGGTACTCTTCCATCCGTTATCATATCCGTAATGAGCTGCTCCAAGTCGTGGCTGATGGCCCTTTCTTCGCCGTCGGTACTATCATGATCCAACGCTTGATAAATAACTAGTCCCAAACCTTTAATAAAATGCTGCTCGTCGTTGAGTTTCTTTCGTGGAGCGCCCGCGCTAGCGTTGCTGCCGCCAAACAGCGTATTCGGGTGAACATTTCCATCGGTTTGTAAGAAGAGGTGATGAAGGGTTGTTAAGGAAAGATAATTTTCGTGATTATTGGTTCCTAGCAAACCTTCGTAGAATTTACAGCTCTGATAGCAGAGCGCCCACGCATGTTCTTCTCGAATTGGCGAATGGAAGGACTCTAAAATATCTTTTAAACACACACTACCGTCAGAATGTAGTTTACATCGTACTCCTGACGACATTTTTACATAAATTACTGAAAAACATGACGATTAAGCGAACACTCACACATTATTGTTATTAACGTTTTGGCCGTTTTTGCTTTAATAACCTCCGAAAGTAGAAAATCAATATTAGCGTAGCATCCTTGAAACTGACAGCGCCCCACCACAAACGTCAAAGTGAGAGACAAAGAAATATAAATAATTAACGACAGAGTGAGACGCACTGATCTGTGGCAGTTAATGCAACTGCAAATACGCATGAACAAACATTAAAATCGTCAATAACATCAAATTTAAATTAAAATCGTTAATTTACAATTTCTGCTGTTTATTTTTCCGCCTGATATCTCGTTATGTAAATATGTGCTTTTGGGGTGACGTTGGTGATGCACATTAAACCTCACTTAATGCACTGTATGTGTACCAGGGGGTTGTCTACGTAGGTGTAGGCCGGAAACCATTTCATTGCCTACAGCGAGTAAGCAATTAGCATATTTTAAATTTCTTTACAAATTACAACAATTCACCTTTTACAGAGAATAATATAAAGAAATAAACATTTCTCTTGCTTGCCAAGGAATTCCCAACTAGTGGCGGTATACGCGGTTATTGCATAATAAAAGTTATTAGACAGTACAAAAATAGAAATATAATTAAAAAATCATGGATTATGCAAAGTATCAAATATCTATGCTATACAATAGATATGTAACCCAGACGGAGGAAATGGTTTGCTCTAACAGTAAATGCTTTTGGTCTTATACTTATTTGCTCAAAGAAGGGGGTTTCATCTGAACAAACAAGTTTTGATTCTTCTTAAAGTATTGTGGATGCGTTTGCTTCTTATTTTTCGAATGTATAAAGGCGGTCAACTCATCAACTGTAACCAATGACAATTATACTTATCAGTAAAAAAATATTCACACGTTAAAATGTTGCTAAATCTGTGCCATTAAAAAATTCAAAGACAAGGTTACCGCAGATCCAGATCATATATACCTTCTTTGTTTAGTGAAAGACTGCATAAATTCTTGCTAAATTATCAGCATTTCTTTATAACATGTCTGTAAGACAATTATCCTCGTTCCCTCCGTATGGAAATAGCTATTTGTGTATAAGAGCGCAAAATGATATATTGTCGATTGAAAGAGACAGTTGACGCGCCACGAAGGAGCGCGGCAATCTCTTGAAATCGACAATCAATTTGCGCTCGAATTACACACAAGATTTTTTCTACAATCGAGCAGTTCACATATTTCCAAAAATTTAAATTTTTCACTTATAATTGCACAAGAGGTTTGTATTTTACCGAGTAAATTTGGGTTGTTTAGGTAATGAAAATCTGTTGCCTAGCAATTAGAAGAGAAAAACTGTCAACTAATAAAAATGCGACCCCGCAGGTGGAGCATTTTTAGGTTGACAGTTTTTCGAGTTCAATTGCTAAAAGGCAACAGATTTGAATTGCAACAACACAAATTTACTCGGTTTAAATACACACCTCGAGTGTAATTCGGCAGGACAATTTAACGAACAAGAAATTCACATAACTAATCAATTACTGACAGACGTCAAACTAGTCATATGGGAAAGGATAATGCGATAATTTGGTTCGAAAATGAATAAGTGAAAAAACCACTAGTGCATTTGTCGCTGGAAAAGTTGCAGGTAACTTTTGCCGCTGTCAAAGTGACAATTTCACTGCGGCTTATGCGATTTTTTATACATGAGTTGAATTGTCACTCAAATCATTTAATCTTATGCCCAAATGAAAGATGTCATTTACTCGTTGTTGGATACTCTGCGCAATGCATATTTGATTTATAGTTAATAATTGGGAGAGCGAGCGTTTTTTCTATTTTGTCGCTTATAAGCGACAAAGTGACATTCCTCGAAAAAGATGACGTTTGCGTTGTCAAATACGAGCGCAAATGCCTACTTTGGATATCGATTGTAGAAAAACAACTATAAAAGTTTGATTGAACATTGAACTACAAATTTCCACTTTAATTTTGGTACAAAAAGTGATCCTCATTTTCGGTTGTAATTTTATTATCTAGCCATTGATTATAAACAGTTGTAGAATTAATGACCTAGCCTTATTTGATCAAAGGTGAAGGGCGACATTATACTGTATATAGGTACATCAGCAGCAACAGTAAAAGAACCATTCTAAATATTTTGAGCTACACTGTATTTATTTTTCTAACCTATAATTTAAACCTAATTAGTCAGTATTAGCTTATTTTATTTTACACGAATTATACATAAAATGAACAAACCAATTCATAAATTCTACTCAGATGCCGAAGAGTATTGGTCGAAGATACCGCCGACAATTGATGGAATGTTAGGGGGATTTGGACACATATCTCAAGTCGATGTGCAAACTTCCAAAATATTTTTACAACAGTTATTTAAAAGTAAAGATCCGCCGGGCCGTACTTACGCTGCAGATTGTGGAGCCGGCATCGGACGTATCAGCAAACATTTGCTCCTAAATATATTTGATAAAGTAGATTTAATTGAACAAAATGAGATATTTTTGGATAGAGCGCGGGATTACCTAGGACCTAAGCTAATTAGTAAAGTGGGCAGCTTTGTTCCGGTGGCCTTACAAAATTTTAAAGCAGAAAGTAATAAATATGACATTATTTGGATTCAGTGGGTTTTAGGTCATTTAACCGATGCACATTGTATACAATTTTTCCATAATTGCATGTAAGTTAGCTGTTCTTGTATACTTCGACTTGATAAGCATTTTTCAGAAACAGCCTAAAACCAAATGGCATGATAGTCGTTAAAGAAAATATAACATCTGGACAATTGGAGGTGGATGAAAAAGATTCCTCGGTTACAAGACCTATACATGAGCTAAAATGTTTATTCAAAGAATCTGGATTAGACTGTTACCGCCAAATGAAACAAAGCAGCTTTCCAAAGGAACTGTACAATGTCTACATGTTTGCACTAAAACCTAAAAGCAACTTAGAAATTAATACAGATTTACCTGCTACTAATGTAAATTTAGTTGCAGTCAGTTAAATTGTCGAGGAATTATTTGAAAATCTAGTCTTTTTTTATAAATCCTTGTGTTGATCGGAGAGATACTATTTTTGTATTTCACTATATATCAAATGATGTTAAAACTATACTTGCTGCTCATTTCTAATGTCCCTTCAGGCAGAACAGATTTATTAAATAAAACACATTTCAAAAATTGTTTAATTTATATTGTGAATAGAAACTTATGCCTTCAATGCATACTTCCTAACAGGATTAAGTGACAACTTTCGTCTTTCCTTCAACGTTTTTATATTGGAATCATGCTTAGAAAGTGCACGTCGCTTAGCACGCGTGAGTTTCGGTCTCAAGTCCAACGGCTTGTACTTCTTATTTTTGTACAGCTTCCTCAAATTTTCCTTTTGCTTTTGGTGCATAACAATATACACACGGGCAATTGCTTTACGGACTACTCGTCTGAAATGCAACCAAATGAAACTCTCGCTGCTACGGGAAAAAATTCAACTTACATCTTGGACAACTTTGAGGGTGCTCCTCCGGTAACCTTAGCTACACGAAGGGTCAACAGTTCGGTTTTTAGTTCCTCAAGTTGCTTGGTGAGGTCCTTTTTGTCCTTAAGACGTAACTCCTTGCACTTTACTTTCACCTAAAACAAATTCGTTAATAACCTATATTAAACCACTGCATCTTTGTGGAAAAATTTCCAGTTAATTGTGATTCTGGTTCAAAAGTAATACCATTATTAACGTTATTAACTGTCGATGCACAATTTAATTATCGGAAATATGAAGATTTAAAAACTTACCATGTTTTCTTTTACAAGAAAATTTTACAGAAGACAATTGTTTTTAATATGTTGGTACTGAATAGTTATTTGCAATTGGTAATACTTTCTTACTAAATTTACACTATTGCCACATTTACCAATTATGAATAGGTACATATGAGTCATTACAAACGTCCTTGGTCATTAAATTATTAACCTACACACTTTTACTATGGTCATTATCATTGAATTAATTCAATGTCATTAAAAGGTATATTTTTGGTGCATGCGACTTATGCACTTGTCCTCAATGGATTTTTTAAATCAAACTTGCTATTTATCTATTTTGTTATAATGATTTCCTAAGAAGTACTCTCCAGAGCTTGATCTGATTCCCTCGAAACTCTTGGCTTCTCAGGATCCCTATTCTTTTCCAGTGCCCCGAAATCATTTCATAGGTCGCACGAAATTAACAACACTTTGTATAGTATTTAAATGCGACAACACTGTAACCGTAAAATAAGGTTTTTCTTGCCGTCTCTGTCTGATGCATCATATCCCTATAACGGCAACTTTTTCTATCGATTAGTCACTATTTATCTAACCTAAAGTTTTATCAATTTGGTACATTTCAGGGTGTATCCTATTTTTGAAAATAATGGCAAAGAACACATTCAGTTCGGCATTTCGAAAAATCGACGTAGATCAGTATAACGAAGATAATTTCAAAGAAGACGAAGGTGATCAAAGTGGACCGACGGGACCTAATGAAAACGAAATTATAACCCTACTTAATCAATATCCTTTTAAAAACATTTTTATTAATTTTAGTCCAGGACCCTGTTTACAGGAATACAGTGTTTGTTTATCACTATCGCTTTTTGTATAACTATATCCATCTTTTGGCATAAAGCGTTTATTGTTCGGCTATTAGTATGATATTCCTTAATGTACTATACAGGAAAAAATGCAGAAGCACTACGAGCAGTTCTCAGTAATGCACCACTAGGATCGAAAAACCAACAAATAAAGGTGAGAGTAGAGAAGCATGTTAAAATTACTTAAGGGGTTTTACTAGGATCAAGCTTTAAACATAACTCTACGAGTCTTGTTGTCCATAAAAGGGTCACAAATTGACGAAATAGTACAAAGTCTCGACCCGGAGCTTATAGATGTTCTTATGAAGTATGTGTATAGAGGATTTGAAATCCCTGCAGAAGGAAGCAGTGGTCATCTACTAATGTGGCATGAAAAGGCGTACAGTGTAGGAGGAGTGGGATGCATTGTAAGAGTATTATCAGATAGTAAACGAGCGTAGGTATTGTAAATATGTTATCGTAATAAAATAAATTTTTCTTTTTTATAAAAAAAATGTTCTACTTATAATATTACAATTCTCTCTACAGTTTTGATTTTTTTGCTTTCTTCTAAACCTTGATCTACTAGTTGCTAATAAAATAAAATCTTTACTACCTATCAAAGTCTCTCCCTATATTTAATATGAATATTATACTAATGGTCCACTTACACACCACCCCACACCTGACACCAGTGTAACGTAATTTCATTAAACATGCTTTTATTTATTTAGAATTAACTAACAATAAATGGATTAATTTATAACAGTAATTATTATTTATCACTTGCAATTTATAACATAACAATAACGCATCGAAGTTGGAACCGAACTGTGCTTGTGTATCAAACAACATTCTTCCTAGAATGTTCTCGAGTGCTCACAGACGCTTGAGAATGTTCTAGAACAAACACGTCATATTTCTTGGAAAGATTGCTGCACATCCACCTTCGTTCTTTATCGCTGATGACTTATCTTTCATGGCACCTGAATGATTATCGAGATTTCTGGAATATTCGCTATACAGTAGTACCTTTGTTTATTCATTTATAAACAAAGGTAGTACCAAAAAAATGCTTTGACGTTTGCTTGAATTTTCATACATTTGGATAAGAATTTGTTATTGTTGATGGGTGCTATTAAAACAAATTGCAAAAACGTTATCATAATATAATAAACTTCTCAATTACTTCTGTATATAAAACATGTTCTTATAAAAAATATTTATAATTTAATGGTTAAAATCTCTCTACAGTTTTGATTTTTGTGCTTTCGTTAAAACCCTTTGCATATCACATAAACATTGCGTCATGCAATTCTCGAACTGTTCTACATTAGTCTTGGGGCAATCGGTAAAGCGCGAAACGGCAAAGTTTATGTCGTGTTCACGTGGATTGTAGCAACACCCATAACCCTCGGGAGAAGTGGGACCGTAACCCATAACGGCATCGCACTTTGTTGCCACCTGACTCGTAGACAAAAGAAAGTTTGTGCTCCGTGTAAAACCAACATCAGAAAAGAGGGCGGGTAGATCGCTTCCCAGTTCTCGTGCTGCCAGTCTCAAGCCTAATAAATGCCGATCGACACCGTGACCTTCTAGCGCCTACAAGATGATAAATAAGACACGTAATTACTGCTCTGCAGATTGTTATACCTGCACAGCGTATTTCTTATGCGCGTCAATTGCAGCTTTTAATGCTGCTACTTTCTCCTCGTCACTTTTACATTTATCTAACATTGTCTTGGCAAATGCCAACGATTCGGCTGAACATGATCTGATGGTTTCAGTTCTGCCTCCGACATATTTTCTAGTTGCCGCAGATTCGTAGTGTGCTGCAGGGAATCCATTCATTCTATAACATACCTTTATTACACACTATTGGTCGCCTGATAAAGTTAAAACATATTATAGACTACCAAGCCATCACACTCACACAAGTGACATCTACTTTATAATGTTGAGTATAACTTTACAATTTTAAGTGGATCCATGCATTTTTAGTTGTGGTGTAGTAAAAAAAAATGTTTGGATCACCGTTTTTGAGATTTAAACAAAAGTTGCTATTTTTTGAATGCAACACCCTGTATATCTTAACGTCATTTTTCGCATTATTTTTCTTGATTACATTAATGTATTACAACCTATATTTTTTATACAGTGATATTCATTAAGAAGTAGACATAGGGATTTACGTGTGTCGTTTTTCCCTATGTCTACTATTAAATGACAAAATCTCTCCTGGAGGTTGCCTAATTTGATGAAACCAAAATAACTTCTTAAAACAAAGAAAGATCTGGCTGTCAACTTAATTAATTTGAATATTGTTGCTTTAGCGTTCATATTTTTATTTTTCGTGTCCCATGTATTCACCTAAAGAAAGAGTTGATATTGTCAATTAGTATAGTGCCAGTGATAGTTTAAGGAGCGTAAGAAATTTATTTTCTGTGAAACCAAAGCAACAATCTGCATATTAATTAATACTATCCAGATATTTATTTGTTTTAAGAAGTTATATTGGATGCATAAAATTAGGCGCTTGTATAGTTTGTTTTTATTTCGATACATGTAGGCCGACTAAACCAAAGATAAATGTCTTACTTATAGAATGCATATTGCATGGCCATTTGAATATAGCTGTCCGGGCTGAGCTTTTGCTGTTTTATGAAATCCTTTCCGTATCCTTCAAATTTAAAACACCTCAAATCAAAATTGGCGACCAGTCTGCAAAGATACTTTAAATGCGCTAATTTACATTGAGGGTGTTACATACTGGTCTATGTTGCTCTCTGCCTTTTCTATGTTCTTTGTGGTAGCATCACTAATTTCAAAGCACAATTTTGTAGGGCCCTCGTTTGTCGTGTTATCTGGAATAGCTGTGCCACTATCTTTCTTGCTAAAATGCACAGTTATTTACATAGAAATGATCAATTCTGATATTTTACATGAAATTATACAGGAAGTCTACCATATAGGCTATTGGTTGGCCTTCGCTAGGCGAATGCTCGTACGTTAAACCCAAGATACCATCACATCCGATAATAAACTAATAACACACAACGAGGCATAATTAAATCGACTTAAATGGCATTGCTTACTTGAACAGTTTTATCAAACCAACGATTTCCGCTATTTGCACAGGAACCACCACCGTGAATGAGCTGGTAACCTCCCTTCGTCTGCTTATTTGGATAATCGGAATCGACACCTGGCATAGCATCATCAAGGCACACCAAAAATAATGACTGTTGTACATCGGTCAGCGACTTCTCGTTACCGGTGCAAAGATCTTCGTAAAACTTGGTCCAATTGTCACGATCGTCAGATGTGAGAACACCGATTGGCACAGTTTTTTCGCTCGATTGTGTAATTACACATTTCAAATGATCGAATATTTGCTTCTGGCTCAATGGTTTATCGTTATGTAAGACATTCAGTCTGAAAAACTGAAAGAAGAATTAACATTGGAAATGCTAAAAATAAATAGTAATACGTTCACCCCCACTTTTGTTAATTGCAATAATTAATTAACTAATAAAATAAATTTAATGGTAGCGGTACCGTAAAAGACGCCATGCAAACATTATTTCGGTCTAAACGCCAAAAATAATGAAAGGACACCCTGTATATGACAATATTTTAATTTATGTGGTTATTTACGAAATAAGCACAGAGTGGGTTTATTCATTATTGTATTTGAATTGTTTTTCCTCTTAGAATTGTTAGTAATTACGCAATTCTTTTTTTCGCTTTTGTAATTTGTTTATTTAGATTTGTGTATAAAACCTGAAATTACGTGGTAAAATGTAGAGACATCTGGTCGTTTGTGATAAGGAATTTTTATCGACCGAAATTTAATTAACGCACGTGTTCTTATCGCTGTGCGCGTTATTTCGGCGTAAGTGGGGACGCGTTCCTTCGAAGCCGTAATAATCTTTCAAATTGTGATTGCCGGTTGATTTGAAAAATCCTGACGAAGGAGTTTATCTTATGGTGACGGTGGTGTTTCCTTACATACTGGAGTCAATGTAAAAACGCAGTTGCTGCTGCTAGCTGTCAGTTGTCGCGACGGTCAAACAACACATTCATCAGCTTACACTACATCTCAGGCAGTCATTCGTTTTGTTGAAGATGCAGTTCGTCGGTTTCGAATTAAAGTGTGTAAAAAAAGCTGAGAAATCTAAATAAAGATTTAAGTTATCGTAAAGTGAGGTAGTAAAAGTTTGTCGAAAGTTTTTAACATGGTTTGTCAAAAATCAAGAACGTAAAAAATAAATTATGGTATTTTTCGCCATATTTAGGAATAACTCGACGATCATTTCTGCTCATTTAAACCACTCTCTATAAGCGAGATCTCTGTACTTAACACGAAATTAGATACAAACTGTACACAGGGTGTTACATCCGTATGTAAAAAAAATTGGGTGATAAGAGCTAGGTGATCGAGACGCGCACGTTTTCCAAATAAACCATGGGTCTAAGGTGTTTCGCAGCCGCGGAATTTTTGGAAACGAATTTGCAGACTTGAATACCATGGTCGACATTTTTGTGATCATTTAATCATAACATATGGAAATTCTGATATAATAACAAATTCAGATTCTCCGAAAAAAAGTGCCCATAGAAGGTGCTAATGGTAACCGTCCATTTCCGACCATTTAAGTTTGACATTTTCAGTTTTTTCATGATCTAACTTATTTTCAAAGATTTTTCAAAAATTTCAAATGTGTGTAGTTTTCAAAAGGGTCAACAAGATCCCAATAGTGGCCCACGAACTTGAACCACCCTGTACAGAAACATTTATGAAAGCCAACCTACACTCCCTAATTTTTTTGACAAACACAAAACACACCATAAGAACAAAATAATATTCAATAAACTTTGATAAATGGGTACTTACTAAAGACTGAGCTATAAGTCGCAGTTTTCAATAAGGAGAGTACTTTGCTGTATTTGGAAAAAATGGTTGTTTGATCTGCTCTACCATTAGATTTTTGTATATACTTAATTGTTACACCCTGTACCTACACGTTAATTAACTTTAATAAAACAAAGGCAATCTAACGAGGCAATTGGTCAAGCAGCCAATGGTGTGATAGTATGAACCATGTACCTATAAGTACTTGCCATCCTTTTCTAAAAACTTGTAATGTGTGTACGACTGTAACAGACACAGTAAGCAGGAGGCTAATTATTATTATTACCATATAGGTACACTGATAAGCCATACCTAAGTATATCTGGCGCAGACATTAGCCAGGTTGCGGACAGCATTTTCCGTTATGTTAGACGGCCATTTTTCCTTATAATATAAGTTTATAAGTATAAAACATTTTTATAGCAAAGTGTGCTGGGCGTGTTCAATTTTGCTTATAAGTTTGAAGGAGTCTTAACCTCACTTTTATTTTACATTGTGTTAAAATGTCCAAAGTTCACTACTATGCTCTAGACAAAATGAAAAGAACTACCGCCAACATAAACACTGCACAATTGTAGGTTAGCAGGAAAATGTTATTTTTATGAGTGATTACGTACTGCGCAGTGACACATTATAAGAACTTCATTTTCATTGGTTCCGCTATTTATAAATATATCGTACAAAAAGTCCTCATACCGTAAATTATTTCTACAAAAATTTATATTTCTTATGTTATAAGAAAAAATGGCCGTCTAACATAACGGAAAATGCTGTCCGCAACCTGGCTATTACTTACATGATTCTTATGCATTATAATTATATGCTTTGAATTTCGATTATAACAGAGAAAATCGATGGGCTTTTTGGGCATACGGCAGGTACCAAATATCTTGTTGTATTGCTCCATATCCAATTCAAATTTTCCCATTTTATCCACGGGCATTTTCTTTCTAAAATGCAAAAATGAACTCGGTTTAAAAAAAGTGCACTTACTCATCGATGATCATTTTATAACTTAGCGCCGCCAAAATTAGTTTAGAAGTATACGTGAGGCGATCGTCTTCAGATTCGAATGTTTCAAACGGTATCGACTGACCGGGACTCGAGTGGACGACGACAGGATACCGAAAACCTAAGTATGCGGTGTTGAGCCACCATTCTTCCAACCAATTTAGTTTGCATTTCGCCCGTTGTTCCAAATACTTCTGCAACGTATCTGCGGTGGCGCTACATTCAAATTCTTTCACGAGCTTGGTGGTTACAGCGTGTTCTTCGTTGCTTAGTAACGGTGTGAGAGTCTGGAGATATTTTTCTAAGGTGGCTTGCAGTTTCGGTAAAGGCTGTTTTGGTAAGTTTTGAGGGTTTGGGTTCGATGCCAATGTTCGCGTAGACGATTTGACCAAGTTGGCGGAGACCAACTGTTGCATCCACTAATTAGGGAAAACACTTCTAATGACGCCGACTACAAACTTTAGTGATACTCACTGCCTTTGTTGGAGCTCTACTGAGGGACACACGCAGCATTGCACCCGGAACAGACCTGCAAGGTAAAGAAAATTAGACCAACTTCGATTTATGTCCATATGGGTTACCAATCACAAGTTGTCAACATTACTTTTACTGTATTACTGTGTACCTTGACAACTCAATGCTAACATGTTTAGCTGCGGGCCACAATTTCTTGCTGGCGAAAAACAAAGCAAGGCTAGGTAACTTTCGAGATACGTGACAACTTTCCCCAGTTTGAAATTGGCGCCATTTATTATTTTTTTTAATTGAAAAATTTAACCTCAATGATCAAGTTTTCTACAGTGCAGAGAACAGTTTTAAAATGGTAAATCTAGGCGAACCTTTTCCAAATTTTCAAGCAAACACCACCGTCGGCCCCATACAATTTTACGACTGGCTAGGCAATTCGTGAGTATCAATTAATTAACGTTTATTTACGTTACAGTTACCCAAATGAATTGGGATAAATCTTTTCATTGCTTGATATTAAGAAAAGGGACTGTTGCGCTGGTCGACAATCCAAATTTGAACATTGGATTAAATTGGAAATCGTTTGGAATACTTTTGTGTACATGATTCCAAAGGTTTATCAGTACCAGGGTTGTTCAAAGGTTGTGTAATGTGTTTTATGGAAGCACAAGTTATCTTATTTGAAATAAAAAATGGAGTTAATGATGCCTTTACTAGAGAGCTTTCTTTTCTTTTTTCAAAAATATATCATTAACTGCTCTTTTTATCATATAGTTTCTAGACAATTTACTATTCACAGCGGAAAATATTAATTATTGCAATCATCATAGTTGGCAGTTTGTAACTGTTGTTTTAAAAAGCACCTGCTTGGTTGATATCTCACATTTTGTTTTCATTATACCTACAGGGTGTATCTTTTCGAGCGATAAAACTTCATTACATGATTCAGCATTATTTTCTGAGTCAAAAAGTCTATACTGCACTGCATAGTGCATTCATTATAAGAAGGTAGTAGATGGCGCTGCCAATTTTGAAAAATATGAATATAAATCAAAAGATTTCACAAATGGATAATTGAAATTGATATCGAATGTCAGTTCAGTTTAGTTCCTAACCGAAACTACTAACATAAAATTGGTCACACATTTTATTTGTCCGCGTAATACAGACTCGTGGTTTAACCAATCACAGTGAAGGTCAAAGCTTCCCTATGATTTCTACCGCTACCTTCTTAAAATGGATAGAGTATAATATAAATTTTCCACTAGATAGGACTCCTGTCTTAACACTTTTAGATTTTTAAATGTGGCAACAGATCAAGGCATTCTAGATAAACATTTTACGTGAAAAACTCGAAGTGCATTGATGCACCATTTTAAAAATTTACATAGAGGTGAAACTTTTGAAGATTAATAATGTTGTGTATTTGATACCGCTAATGTTAGAAAATTGTTAATGTGCCCATTAACTGATTAATCTGCAGATTAATGATTCTGATCCGTTAAAGTTCGAAATTGCCTTTAAATTAGTAGCAATCTGTTGATTACCTAGTTAATATATGCATTTTAACATATTCTCAATTGTTAAAAGTCAGGTGAACGTGGTGATCACCTTACTGGTCCATTGGTTCGTATGCAATTTTCTTGAGTTTTGAGGTGGTGCACCATCTTGTTGAAACTTTATATGTATTGTTTGAATTATTTTCTATTTTAGGGTTTCTCGAGGGGTTTCCAGTTGTTTATTTATTCGTTTAGCATTTTAGTAGTTTTCTTTGCTTCCTTTTTCAAAATAAAGAAACTTTGTCACTAGATTTTAGGTTTTCTACAACGAGTGATCGGTCATTGTACATTGGGCTCTAAAATGAGGTACCCTTCTCATATTGGAAATTGGAGATATTATTTTGGTTTGTATCATTTCTTCAGTACCAAATTCCATATGGGGGAGATTCGCTTGTTTAATGCATGAGAGCGTTTTGCAATTGCTATGTAGCTTTGCGCGTTACACCTTCGTGCAAAGTATGTGCAAGTGCGATTTGTCTTTCATTTTGGTGTTTATGTGTTGACCCAATCCAAATAGTAAGTATACAAAGAAGATGAATGTACAGGGTGGTCCAAGTTGGATACTTTCTAATGGAAAGGCCCGTTATTTTAAGAGAAAAAAAAATGGACCTAGGTGTCTGTAGTTCAATTTTAAAGAGAAAATCAGGGTGATTTTTCTAATACGACCCTAAACTACATTTTTTCATATGGACCATCCTATATATTTTGGAGTTTTTGAAAAGAGTGTAAAATTTCCTTTTGATGTATCACTTATTATATTTATATTAAATATTGTTTCGATGGTGAACAAAAGACGGCAGCATTGTTTAAAACGACAATTTCTTGATTATCTGCATTTCTTATTTTGTCAAAAATGAAATGTCGACGTACTCACAAAAGCAAAGTGAAAGCATTGGACGAGCGTGTGGGTCGGTACATTCAAAACATTCAGATGCAAATATCTCGGAAAATGATATTTACCAACAAGCGCAAAATGGCATGTCGGTTTAGCCTGGTCTTCGAGGGCCAGTAGGTTAAGCAGGATGATAGCTATTAAGGTTAATGACCAGAATTTGGGTACCATATACACGTGTAATTTTGAATTGCTTCAAAAAATCAGAGGAAATCAGAAGCGACTCTGATGCTACAATTTGAAAGTCACAAAAATTTAATTACTGTACAGTGTGTGTACTTTAGTTCGCAGAAACTTATTATTAACATTACGAAAAAAAGTTCTGCATGGTCTGAAACCTAAAATGCAATGGTCAGATATCAAAATTTTTCAGTCATATATATACAAGGTATGTCAAATAATATGAGTTTTTCTCAAGAGTAACCTTTATTTGTTAATATTGAAAATTGTTATCAAGGAAATTTTAAATAGTAGGCCATGATTTCATGAAGATTTTGTTTTTTATTATATCCATGGTAATGGTAACAAAGGTAACGGACACCAATCAATAAAAATGTCGGAGTGTAGAAACAAATCATTTCAAAATTTTGAAAAATATAAAGAATATATAAAAAATATATAGGTCATGATACATCAATGTAATCTTTAAGATATACAAGGTGATGCATTTAAAAATTGCGAAATTTTAGTCAAATCTCAAAAATGGTGATCCAAAAATGGCTTTTTACTACGTCACTAGGTGGTCCGTAAAAAAATCTAAAATATGCAGTTTTTACCTTTTTTATATCTTGTTTATGCTCTGTATCTCAGAAACAAAGGTAGCTAGATTTATTCTGTGTGTAGTATTAAAATTAGGACACATGGTATACTGCAAACTTTATGAAATGCTCACAATTTTTATTGGCCGTTTTGATTTTCTTTCGAATTCTGGGACAAATATTCCTGATTCTTGCTTTGTTTGTAAACAAATTTATTTTGGTTATCCGCATGCGCGCACATGGACACTACTTTGGAAAAGTTTAGACTGGGCGGGCTCCAAATGTTCAAGAATGTAAATTAATGGCGCAAAAACATAAAGGGAAATTATCCTTCAGTTCATCAAAATTTCTCTTTCAGATGGGGAGTGTTGTTTTCGCACCCCTCCGACTTCACGCCGGTTTGCACCACCGAACTGGCTCGCGTCATACAGCTTCACGGCGAGTTCGAGAGGCGCGGCGTCAAGGTGATCGCCCTGTCGTGCGACTCGGTGGAGTCTCACCACGCGTGGGCGAACGATATAAAAATGTACGCGAAATGCGATAGCCAAGATGCATTACCGTATCCCATAATTGCAGATGAGAGACGCGAACTGGCCGTACAATTAAATATGATCGATCCGGACGAAGTGGATGCGCAAGGAATGCCGCTAACTGCCAGAGCTGTTTTCGTAGTCGATCCAAATAAGAAAATGAGACTGTCCATTCTTTATCCGGCGACTACTGGACGCAATTTTGAGTAAGTTGGTATGGCAATTGTAACTTTTCTAATACAATGGTTTACAGTGAGATTTTACGAGCAATTGACTCTCTTCAACTAACTGATAAACATCGAGTTGCCACCCCTGTAGACTGGAAGGTAGGCATCCTAATTTACTAGGTCATTTTCATAGTGAATTTTTTTATAGCCAGGCGATTTCGTTATGGTTCAACCGACTGTTCCTGATCAGCACATACCAACGTTGTTTCCTTATACAACTGTAATTCCTTTACCATCTGGGAAGAGATATTTAAGACAGACACCGCAGCCATAATATATCTTTGGTGTTACACCATTCCAGGGGATCTTGAATTCCCATGTTAAGTTATGCTATGCGTTATGTGATTTTTACACAATAAATGTTCAGTGCGGGAATCTGTTGTCGCCCATTTTACAATGCAAAAATTTTGAAAAAAATTCATCATTTTAAAAGTAACCATTATCAGAAGAATTTAATATCGACGGGAATTTTTTCTAAAAGACAACTGATAACATCTGTATTATACCTAGGTATCCATCCAGTTGTACCTAGATGTTAAGACCCATTACATGAACGAGAAAATCGTAGTTCAAGGTTAGTGCTATTTATTTCTGTTTAAGATGTCAAAGTAAATATTAAATATTAATTTGTAGAAAATTTAACGTAACGCTTTGATTAATTGATTATAAAGGATTCAACCACTTTTAAATTTGTGATATAAATAGTAATGTGTAAACGTAATAGTGTAACGGCTTAGTTACATTTACAGGGGTTGAAAATCCCACTTGTGGAAAATTAATTCTAATTTCTACGGCACTGGTAACTTTTATTGCCATCATAGATTATACTTCCTTATTTTTGGCGGACGTTTTTAAATCTGTTATAAATGAACACTCAATCCAATAAAAGGGCTTGTTTGAAGATTTTGGTAAAAATAAAATCGTTTCAACTCTACTTTTCTTAACATTTTTCGTAATTTAAAATGTTAATGTAATTCATTCAACGAATATAAAATTAAAACTGGATCGTGGAACGTCTTGTGCAACACAAAAATCAGTAACAAACTGGGGTTTCAGTTTCTCAAACTTTAATATTTGAACACTGCACGCGCGATAATAATTTCGTTGAAATGTGAGCACAGTTTCCTCTTAAAATTCGGTAAATAATTCAACATTCGCAATAACGTTTTGTCAACTTCAAAAACGCAGTTTCGAAACTTTGTTAATCATCGGGAAGTGTCAACCCTTTAATAATTTCTTTAGAAATTTAGGTTTAGCCCATCGCCCATAGTGAAAGAGAGACTATTTTATTGTTGATTTTCGGCTATTCTGCCGGGTATAAAATTTTTTTTGATATCACAGTATACCAGATACAGGGTGTCGAATTAGTTTAATCACCATAGGGATTTCAATGCTAATTTCTTTATCTTGAAATATTTTCTCCCCCAATTGATTTAGAGCAAAGTTGTAAATAGGTTTCTTGTAGCTTGAAAAATGCATCTATAAGAGATTAAATCTTTATTTGGAAAAATACAACATTCTATCCGAAAAACAATTTGGTTTTCGCCCCTCATTGTCAACCGAGGATGCTACAGTTCATCTAATACAACACATAATGAATGAAATGGACCTATAAATAAAGCCTGCTTTGTTGTTTATTTTGATATTAGTAAAGCTTTTGATAGCATCAACATTGACTTAATGTCTCGAAAGCTTGGCGCTGTAGGGATCAGAAACGAAATACATCACTTCCTTATATCGTTTTTAACAAGTAGGAAATACTATGTTAAATACAATAATACAACTTCAAAGGAGTATACTTTGCAAAATGGAACTCCCAAGGGAGCACCCTTGGTCCAGTTCTCTTTCTACTTTACATTAACGATCTACCACCAGCCATTATTAATGGGTTTACATTCATGTACGCTGACGACACAGCAGTAGTTGTAAGCGCTGAGAACCCCGACTTAGCTTTGCAAAAATTAAAAAGGGTTGTTCACGAATTTTTAACTTGGTGCAGCACTAATAAACTGAAGATAAACTCCGACAAAACAATAGTCATGAATATGACCAAATCTACACAGAATCACCCCTATGAGATTTTCATTGAGGATTCACTGATCTCTTGTAAACCACATAGCACGTATCTTGGTACTATAATTGATTCCAGTTTGTCGTGGCTTCCTCAAACTGAATACGTTATAAGTAAGCTTAACTCATCGTATTATCTGTTATCACGACTGAAACAACAAGTCGATGAAAATTTGTTACTTAAAGTTTACTACGCGGTTGTGTATCCATATTTAAGCTATAACATTACATGTTGGGGAGCAAGTACACATACTCACAGAGAATTTATATTACAGAAACGTATAATACGATTGATGTACAATCTTAATTACGCTCAAACATGTCGGGACACTTTCAAAAATCATAAAATAATGCCACTGCCTTGTATATACAGGGTGTTTGGTAAACATGCGGCAAAAATGAAAGAGGTTATTCCTTGGACTATTCTAATGATATTTTATCCTTTGATGATTTTTGAAAAAACGCATTCGAATGATGAGCCATGATAGAGGATTTCACAAACAACCGTTTAAGTAATAAGGGCAGAAATTACACATGTATCTTCGCAACGAAGCGTTTTTTCAAAAATCATCAAAGGATAAAATAACATTAGAATAGTCCAAGGAATAACCTCTTTCATTTTTGCCGCATGTTTACCAAACACCCTGTATATCTTTAAATTACTTATTTATCTTCATAAAAACCGACACAAATTTAACAAAATAAGTCAAATTCACGATCACAACACCAGAGGTAAAAATAAAATCTTGATTCCAAAACACCAACATTCATTTTATAAAAAATCTCCGTTTTACACCGGTTCAGTATTATTTAATAATCTGCCTGAAACTCTAAAAAAAATGAACCACTCCATTTTCAAAAATAGAACGAAACAAATATTACAAAATAATTCTTTCTATTCAGTAAATGAATTTGTTGATTATATATCTCTAGGTAATAAAAACCTAATGACTGGATGCACCTGAATTGTTAGTTCACATATTTTCTGTTGTCCATACATGTTTTGTTTGTGATTTGACGTTTCTGTAATTGTTATTTACAATTTTTAGAATTAAAGATTATTATTATTATTATTATGTTATTTTTCAATTCGGGAAACCGGAAATGAACATGAATAGACGCAGAATTTTACAATCTACAAAAAATTTATTTGCAACTTTGCTGTAAAATAATTAGGGAAGAAAATATTTCAATATAAAGAAATTCCCTGAAATTCCTATGGTGCGTAAATCGTTTCTACACCCTGTATACAGGACATAACAAAGTAGGCATTTTTTCCCAAATAAATCGTAGGTCCAAAAGTATGTTTTGGGACCTACAAGAATTTACAAAATCCTTACACGCAAAGAAGTTCACATAATTTTTTTGTTTATATTAAGCTCTACTGTACGTCACAGCTCGAAATAAATCGTCCACTTTTTACTGTCACTTCATTTGCTTCAATGTAGACGATTATAATTTGGTATAAATGGGTGAGTCCTTCTATGCAGATACAGTAAATAACAGTAAACAGCAAATGGTAATGAGAAAAAATATGTTCTACATACCTTCCTACATTTGACAACGAGGACACCAAAGTTAAAACCAACCACATCCCAATTCAAATGGGTAATGTTAATTAAAACGGCACAATACAAATACAAAGTCTTGGAAAGTTACATTGTCAAAAACGTGCAACAAAGTCCACTAGATTGTCATTATGTATGGTCACCATGGGAACCACTTTACTATGTACTGTCTGTTAAAGCAGCTACAGGATGTTCATTCCGAAAGAAAATGTCGATTTGCTTTGTCACTATTTTCAAATCACTCTGTATGCTTTGCTTGCTCTCGATGTATTAGAACAAAAAAAGTCAATAATACAATCAAAAACATTACGATATACAACTATTGTATTAAGTCTCACTTTTGATTACTCCCTAAGTATATGGCACAAAAAGTTACAATATAAAAAAATTGTGTAAGTAAGCAATATTTACATTTTTCAATAAATAAATAGTTACAATAAGAATTATAATTCGTCTTCGAAATGATGAATGTTGTGGAGATGATCACCGTAATCTGTAGCCTCGCTACCGACGAACGTGTCATGGTGCTCTAATACCTCGTTAAAACTCAAAATTCCGTCCTCGTTGTCATCGCTAACTCCAAAAAGATGATCGACTTCTTCTTGTGCGATTTCGCTTAAACAAAGTAATTATAAAAATTGTAAGATTCCATAGCTTAGAGTGTAGGCGAAATGTGATGACACATACATAATGATAGATAAGTGACCACATAAATTTTTGCTCTTAACACACAAATCTCCTATGTTCAATTCTTAAATATATAAGTCAATGCATTGATATGCCTGACAGTTACCCACCTTAAGCCCACATTACATCTATCAACAAATTCAAGGTTAAATTGTCAAGTGTAAAGTACTATAAATTCATCAATTTTCTGAATAATTTCTTCATGGATTTGTTGGTGGATTCCTTGATGAATTAAGAACTTGCTCTAATTTTCGTCAATTTTCTGGTGATATTTTAGTAATTTTGTTGTTATTCCATGTATACCAATAGACGGCGGCATTTGTACTAATTTTGTAGGGTGTAGATTATAACCACACTTTTATTGAAAGCGTCCGTGGTTTTGTACTTTACAGTACAGCAAATCAGGGTCAAGCACTGTAACAGCAACCATCATAACAACTACTGCTGCTTTAACTTTGGCTGCATTATTATGCCTTAACTTTGTTTTTCTGTTCATTAATTAATCTTGATAATAAGAATAGGTAACCTATGTAAACAGAGGGTTGTTTGTTTTGTTTAGGCGTTTGGTAATTTTTCTCAAAGTTGGCAATCCTTAACATAGACTAGAAAATTCATGGTTTTATTGACAAGTGTAAAGTGTTCTTTTCTGAACAATAAATCCATGAAATAATTCATCAATAAATCCATGGGCAAATTTATGAATTAGTTGATAGATGTAATGTGGGCTTTACATACCAATTTGACAGCAGTGTAAGCAAAGTGAACATAGGAGATTTGTATGCTCCGAGTTAAAATTTACGCACTGTATATTGTCTAAACTTTGGATCAATCACTATTCACATTTTCCTGTAGGCATCATAAACTAAAATTTTGCTACAGAGTTTTTCAATTTAGCAAAAGTTTCAATTGTCGATATGGTTATTTTTTCAACAATCCGTATGTAATTTGTAGAACATGTTTCATGTACCTACCACTAGATTTGTGTAAGTAGTTAAACAAGGAGACTTCTGGCACAATGTAAATCTCCATAAGCGCAATGTATTTCTTATGGAGGATTTCATCATAAAGTCACTTTTTGGTCGGGTCTTGATTGCGGTGTTTTTTGTGGGTTTGTCGATTATTATTGGATAATTTGACTGCAAACCTAACTGAAATTGCTGGGCGAAAATCAGGTTAGGCTTTTCATGAAGTGGTCAATATTAATTCATATATTCCTTTGAATGGTGGAGGATTTTCAAGATTTTTTGAGCTTCCCAAATGTTTTACCATAAACGATTATGTCAACAAAATAAAAACCAATCCGTCTAAAATTGGTGCTAGTACAGCATCAAAAATACTGGAAGCTTGCAAAAATCCCAAAATTGTTTTGGGCGTTATGTTCTTAGATGTGCACTTATTGCACTTATTTTTGAACTTTCTGCGTCAAATAAGCTGTAAATAAGCTTTGTATACAGGGTGTTCTTTGGGAGCTTTAGTTAAAGTGAATTAGGTAGATTTTTGAAAATGTGTACTTCAGAGTTAATCTGAAGGGCGAATCAATGTAAAATATTTTCAAAATGGTGGCAGTTCCGGAAGTATATAGCTAATAACTTCCTTATTTTAAATGACCACTCCTATTTTTTATTGCATTTTTGGACTCTACATGAAATTTCAGTTCTTTTGATACTCACAAGGTTTTTAAATTATTTTGAAACCACGTACCACGTGATTTAGCAACCAATCAAAAATCAAGTCTATTGTCGCCAGTCTTGTATAAAGTCACTGTAATACAAATTTGTAACATTGTTGTTTCTATTTCCTCTACTTTCAAGACTTTTCTTTCTTCAAACATTATTATTATTATTATTGGACATTCCAACAGAATTAATTTTCTTTAAGATTTTATTAAAATCCATATTACCAGTCTTTCTTTTGGTATTCACAGAGTGTGCTATACAAGCAAATCTTTAACTAAATAGAATCTGGCCTCACATACTCGGCGTCCTTCTACATTTCTGATGATAATGGAATTTAACATCCGTTCATGTTATCGTTCGCTATAGCAATAAAAAAACCACATCTGCTCATATTAACAGGAAGCTGATATCCGCTCATGTCAACTGAATATCGATCATTTGAAAAATGAAACATACATGGTCTGGTCATATCATCATGCCAAACTTTTTATTAAAATATTTGCGAAGATTTTGGTTAGAAAGGGCGATAAAAATTGTATACAAAACAACAGTGCGGCAAAACTACTATACAAAATCGAAAAGCGGGACGCATTGGTTTAATTCCGGGACATACCTATTTATTAATTTTTAGAGTGCGGGATTGTATTGGCCATAATGGGACCATCCCACTGAATACGCCTTATTCTCTTTAAAATTTGTACCTGTATTCGAGGTTTCTTAAAAGAAAATAATCACACAAGAAGATGAAGAAGAAAATCTTTATTTTGCAATATTTTATCTCGCATTTTATACAAGGTTTTATCGTCTAGAAAACAATACGAATTAGCTTTACATTTGTAACTAATTTGCATACTTACGGTCCTACACGAAGGCAATACCTCACCCCTGCAAATTGTTCGTGAATAACCAAATATAATGCTCCAAGAAAAAAAAGGTTCCCTATGGTCATTGAGTGCAAACTATGTGCGCAAAGACACAGGAGTGTAAAGCCCTATAACAGTGTATATTATGAGCAGCGTAAAAGTATTATTATAACATGCTTACCTCGGGCACATAGTCGTAGATTTGCGTTTGTAACCTCCGACATTTTGTCATTGTATCCATTGTTGTTGTTGTTTAACGCAACTTTGTTGTTTTACTGTATAATGAAAATATTTGCTGGATATTTATACTAAATTTTACATACGCATGACTGATAAGAAAAACCACTTCCCTTATTTCTAACAGAAAACAGTGGCACACAAGTAAGAAAGTTAGATCTGCACATAAGTAATTCATTTTTTGCATTAATCTTCCATTTGTAACATGAAACTTCTGGTAAAATTGTGTAAAAAGGATGCTACAAATACACATTTTTGACGCGCTACTTCAATTTCATTTTATAATTCCCCTTTCAGTTGGTTTTTAGCGTATTTTTTTTAAATTCGCAATTCGAACGTTAAGAAGTTTTATGTTATTTATTATTTTAACTATTGTTAGTAGTCTAATTACGTATATCTAAAGAGACAAGTAGAAAAAAATGTACCTAATTTTACCTACACTACAAATCAATAAGTCACTGGACTTTTTAAACCTAAAGTATCTACCTAATCAATTCTTTGGATGTAATTTTCTATCTCTTTTTGAAACGAGTGAATTGATACCTAGACGTTATTTTTTGACATGTTTATTAATGAATGTTTAAAATCTTAATAAACGTGTGAAAAAATAACGTTACTACCTAATCAAATTGTACAGGGTGGTCCAAATTGGGCACTTTCTTATGGAAACACCCTTTATTTTAAGAGATACGAAAAATTGACTTAAGTGTCTTATGTCTGGAGCCCAATTTTAAAGAGAAAATTACTGGCATTGAGAGAATTCAGCTATCACTAATCGTTTAGTCGCTAGAGGGCGTTTCTCGCATTTAGTTGATTTCCTTAATGCCACAATTTTCTTATTAAAGACAATGGATTTTGGACAAAATCTTTCCTAGAGCACTTTTTCATGTAAAATCCACTGCGATGCCGTTTTGATACAGCGTGTTTGGTTTTTCTTATACAACCCTAAACTATATTTTTTCATATGGATCACCCTATATGTTGGAGTTTTTGAAAAGAGCGTAAAATTTCCAAGATTTTGATGTGTCACTTGTTATATTTATATTAAATATTATTTGCAATATTGCTTTTTATACATTAAAATATTTTTAATGCAGACATCTAGGTTTCCATGGCGAACAAGAGATGGAAGGATTGTTTAAAATGACAATTTCTTGGTTTTTTTAAATTTCTATTCGTTCCAAATATTTTTAATTTCAAATAACACACAACAAACTCATGTGAATAAAACAAATAAATAATATAATATATAAATAAATAATGCTGATAATCAAGAAATTGTCGTTTTAAACAATCCTGCCATCTTTTATTCACCATGGAAACCTAGATGTCTGCAATAAAAAAATATTTTAATGTTAGAAATAATATTTAATATAAACATAATTAATGATACCTCAAAATTTCGGAAATTATACACAAAAAAACCTGTAATCAAGACCGGACCAAAAAGTGACTTTTGTACATGAAATCTTCCATAAGAAATACATCGCGCTTACGGAGATTTATCAGAAGTCTCTTTGTTTAACTATTTGTGTACATGCTTTACTTACTCATTGCTTGGTACGATCCAGGACAATATTTCATTTCCTGTTAACTTGCTGTCTCGATTTAAGTCAAGTTCTTGATCAAATTTCTCCTTCTCCGTATATAACCACTCCTGATCGTGATCGAGACCACGATCACCAATAAATTCTTGAAAATCGATCGCGCCATCCTTGTTAACATCTTTATCCCTTAGCGTTTGCTCTAAAATATGGGGAAGCATCTCGGGATGCTCCTCTGGATGCGAAAATGCTACCCACTCATCCCCTTCCAACAATCCGTCACCATTAAAATCGGCCGCCTTCCACATAGTTTTATCATCTTCTATCAGCTAGTTTCATTGTTTTACTAATCTAGGAGTCTGTTTGTTAAACTTACCAGCTGATTTTCCTTATCTAACTTAAAGGAATCCTCATCATCTGCATCAGAACCATACGAGTCGGTCAGGTATTCCGCCCATGACACCTTTCCGTCTCCATTATCATCTGCATCCTCCAAGTGTTCATCAGCCTCTTCCTTGGATAACATTCTATAAAAAATTGATACCTAACAAAAATTATAACCGTTTGTAAACATTGATTACTTAAATGAACGTAATATCCAAGCTTTCAACTCTTTTCTATCGATCTGCTCGTCTTTATTTAGATCCATCTTTTTCAACAAGATTTTCAAGCGTCTTTTGGCTTCGTCTGGTGGCAGATGATCATATTCTTCCGCATCTTTAGCGCTTCCGAGTATCGACTCGTGATCAAATTCGTTATTGTGTTGCTCTGTATCGGCGTTATGTCCCCGGTCGCGTGGACTGTAGGCGCCATCATTTTCTCGTTCTTTGTTCAGATGACTTGAATGGCTGTGCACAACCGCTGCATGTATGTGTGCGAATGTAAGGATAATTATCACAGCCCTCAGGGTAAATTTAATACTGTTTTTGTGTAGCATTATGTACCTATATAAAAAGTCGATCAGTTGTAATAGAGAATAAAACTCGAAGACTTACAAGCTATAGCATTATTTAATTAAAAAAGTTTATTTATAAAGAAACACATAACCTCAAAACGTCAGCTGTGCTGTGATGCCAAGTTTATTTGAAACGTTACTAGGGTCTAGTAGTTTACAGGCTGGATTGAAACAGTCTCCTCACCTCCTGTTTCCTATTCATGGAAATCATGTACATCATTTTTAATTTGCATAAAAGGAACCTAATTCCTCTGCAAATTGTCTAGATTTAATAATAATAATAATCATGTACCTACTGTCAGGTCGCTACCACTTTTGGCCCACGGTGACCGAACTATCAAATTTGTCGCCTGCTCTCACCCACTTACTATTCCCCTTGAGTTTGCAAATTATGAACATTTGGCAAACACCCTGTATCTCTATGTTATTATCTTCATGCTGTGCTGTTGCTAACTTCACACTAGTTGCTCCTGCTGTTTGTAAATTATAACCCCAAAGTTACTTGTATTTGCTTTTTATTTCCTTAACTGTGTAACCGAAATTTTGTTAATAAATCAGTTACATTTACAAAATGCCGTACGCAAATCAGCCATCTGTACATATAACTGATTTAACAGATGAAAATGTGAAGTTTTACATCGAAGATACAGAACTGAGGTGAGTCCCACTCACCTAGGTAATGGGTATCAACTTTTAACGTTCTTTATTTTTAGCGTTGCGAATAGCATGCGTAGAGTCTTTATTGCGGAAACCCCAACTTTAGCAATAGATTGGGTTAAACTGGAAGCCAATTCTACTGTTCTGAGTGATGAATTTTTAGCGCATCGCATTGGTTTAATACCGCTAATATCTGATGAAGTTGTGCAACGGTTACATTATCCCAGGGTAATTTTATTCACTCAGTCTTTGTTTACTACTGCTTTCGATTATAGGACTGTATTTGTCCAGATTTTTGTCATAATTGTAGTGTGGAATTTACGTTAGATGTCAAATGCACTGATGATCAAACGCGGCATGTTACGACTGCTGATCTTAAATCGAGCGATCCTCGAGTTTTACCTGTTACATCAAAACATCGAGATGACGACTCATCAGAGTATGGAGAAACGGACGAGATACTTTTAATTAAGTTACGTAAAGGCCAAGAATTAAAAATGAGGGCGTATGCTAAAAAAGGTATGTTGAATAGTTTCTCACATCTTGGACCAACGTTGCCATTTAGGGTTTGGAAAAGAACACGCCAAGTGGAATCCCACAGCTGGTGTTTGTTTTGAATACGATCCGGACAATGCTATGAGGCATACTTTATATCCTAAACCAGACGAGTGGCCGAAGAGCGAATATACCGAATTAGACGATGACCAATGTATGTCTTTATAACACGGTGTAATGTCTTAAATTGAAAATTGTAGATGAGGCAACTTTTAATTGGGAGACAAAGCCAAATAAATTCTTCTTTAACGTGGAATCTTCAGGAGCTTTGAAACCAGAGAATATTGTCATTATGGGTATAGCGATGTTGAAAGATAAACTATCTAATTTACAGACGCAGCTCAGTCATGAGTTACAAACTGATGCTCTAGCCATTTAATTTACTCTTATTGTATTAATTGTTGTCATTTTTGTGCAACAAATAAAGTTTGAATATTTTATGTCTTAAGGATATTATGACAGAATGAATAATTATAGATATAAAGAAATATTTTTAGAGAACTGCTGCTGCCATAATCTAATTACAAGTATGATAGTACAGCCTGATGGCGCCTGAGAATAACAAAGGCAGTTACTCTCGCAATTTAAAAAAATATTTAATAATCGTCATTTATTGGGATAACGGAAACAAATACAAAATAAGAAATTTAAAAAAAAAACAGAAACACCCTTAAACCAATAGGGCGAAGTTCAGAATTGTAATGTAGTACCACTAACCCTGCTTCTTTACTTCTTGATTAGTCATAATGGCAAAAAGTTCATAGGATAAATTGAAAATGAGAGAAATGTAGAAGAAAAAATTACTTGTTATGTACCCGACTTTTCGCTCTAAATTTGATTTAAGTATGTCATGGCGGTCTTTATTTTCTAAAAGCGCCAATTGGTTATTTACCTTCATTGGAATAATAAAAAAGTGGTTTAAGACCTGCTTTGCGTAGGTAAAGAGGATGTGTATCTGCTCTGAAATATGGAAGATCGACACATTTTTGAAAAGAGGTTTTATCATGGTTGAAATTAAAATGGTAATCATCAGCGGCGGCCTCTAGAACCATTTTTAACGTCTCGTATACATTACATAGGTATACCTTAGAGGTCTGAAAAATTACAAAGACGATAGTTTGTTTATACAACAGGCGAAGGTTTGAGTTGAGGTAGTTAAAATATCTTAGAAAATGTAGAAGTCGCTCGGTAGACTTGGCCCGACGGATATAAAAAAGTGACATCTTTTGATGGAAAATGTGCAAAAAAAATTGTTCTCTTTATTTGAAGTGTAGTGTGCATTGTAAATAATGACATTATTTACAATTGTCATTTATTTTTGCATAGACTATATAAAAGGTTTACGAATGGATTACGATCCCCGAATTAAACTGAACATATTCCAAGGGCAGACCACATTCCAAAATGATTACCGTAGGTTCACCCCAGACAGTAGAGAAAAGTATGTTTGGCCAAAGGCACGCAGTGAACCTCCTCCGAAAAAATCGGCGGAATTTATTCGGAAAGATCCCGAAACTTTTGTAGAGTGGAATAAAGATGTTTACATTCCATTTAATTTGTTGATGAAACCTCGACCAATCATTGATACAACTCCTTACGCCACTATTCCCAGGCTTAAGGTACCCTGAGTGATTTTATGACACCATGTAATTCAAACTACAATAGGACCAAGCGAAAGACGCAGAAAAGAGTGACGTAATGAAAAGTAGACCCCGTTTATACATGACTCCCGCTGTTAGTATGGATGATGTGCCCGATCCTGAAATGCGAAAACTTATATGCGATTATATGTATACGACGGATTTCCGCAGAGCGGAGAAAGAAGCAGCTATGGGTGAAAACACGCGCGAAATCGCAACGTCAACGTTGGACGTCGGGCTTGACCCTGTAAGTTATGGAGTAGGAAACTTGTTTTAATTTGAGTAGGTAAAATTACGTACAGAACTTTATCCTCCTTTACCACTCGGTTGGCGCGAGAAGGGCAGGGCTTGGGATAGCAGGCAAATGAGAGCTCTAGTGGATCCCACCGAGACCTTTTGGTTCAAGAGAGGTTCCCGGGTTAAGTTGGCTACTTTTGTGTGTAGGCACTGCAAGGTAAATTTTACTGATTGTAGGTGCGGTGCCTGTAACAACCCATATAAGGGAGCAGTGCCGCAAAGCGTTAAGGATGAGATAGCTACGCTTATACGTAAAGATAAACTACGTTTGGCGCATGATTATCCAATCCCAGGGTATACTGGATTGAGGCCAATGTTGTCTGCAGGCGTTCCTCTATCAAAAACTGACCTTCCTGTAACGCACCCGTTCTTGTCAGCCTCTCAAGCCGTAACTCAACGTTATGCTGAAGATAAGAATGTATGACTATGTAATATACACCTTTTTTACACTAATACACAAAAATATATCCGATTTTGAATTTCAACATGCCATTCCCTTTCAATGCGGTTGTAGGCATAGACATATATGGTTGTAATTAATTTCCAAAAAGAAGATAAAACCGAATCATTCAAATAAAATTCGTAATGGTGAGTGTTCAGAAATCATCATCAAAGTACAAATTTTTTTAAAGTTTTTTACTGTTGCTTGTAAAGAATGCGAAAATTCTGTGTAAAATTTAATGAAACTCATATAATATCTAATCAAAGAGTTTTGAAAATGCTTTTTAACGTTCTTACAATTACTATATACTTACTCTGGCGAGAAAATTTTTAAGGAAGCTCTGGAAATCTTTTGTTTTAATCATTTTAAGAAAGGTTTTAAAAAAAGTTCAAGATATTTTGAAAATATATATTGCACATCAGAATAATACAAGATGGTTTTAGAAAATTGAGAGATTATAAAAGGATCTTGTGCAGGTTTCAAATCTAGTTAACCCAACAATTTTCTGTACTAATAATCAGTTGCATTACTTAAAAGATTCAGTACCCTGTATAGTGTGCGTAAAATGTTTTGTTTTATAAGTTGGTACATGAGTTATTAATTAATGGGTTGGTACACCTGACAGTCTCAGTTGTCATTTCAAAATATAAATAGGAAGTGTATTTGTAGAGGCTCTGAGTATGTCCAGAATCGCTAGATTTGGTAATCATATTAAAGAAATACGAATTCATTTATGCCAAAATGGAGCTTCGTCTAAAGGCGCACGGTAAACTTAATTTCGAAAAGTATAACCTAAAATTATGTAACATTGTCATAGAGACTTCATCGAAAAGTACTATGTTGATATAAAAACAAAGAACCCGAGTTCTTCAATTTTGGTGAGGGAATGCTCTGGCGTACAGCCGCGGATTTGGGCACGATATGGCAAGTGACTTTGTTAATTGACAAACAATTACATTACCCCTTTTCTAGAGCGTGGAAAGGAATCTTGTGTATCTGTAACAAACTTAGAAGCCGACCAGGTACTTTCAAAGTTTGAAAGTTTAATTAGTAAATCGTAAACATGTTATTTGGTAGAAGTAATTAGTTAAAATAAAATTTGCTATTTACTTCTTTGTAGTCATTACATTTTGGTAACTAAGTGGATAATTATCTACTACAATTAGCTATTTATTTTAACGGTGGTAAACCGAATAATTCTAATTTCACATCAGTTAGAGACTTTAACACTTGCGTAGCTTGTCGTGTTTGCTCAGTGGTTATGTGTTCATCAGGTACCATGACACATTGCATTCCTGCTTCGGTTGCTGCCAATACACCATTAGGTGCATCTTCAAAGACTAGGCACTTTTGAGGATCGGGTGAATCCGCAAATCTCGAGGCGCAAACTAGAAAGATGTCGGGACTGGGTTTGCCATGCTTAACTTCAGGATCGGAGCCACCAGTTACAATATGACTAAACAGGTTAAATGTATCTTTATACTTGGCAGTTTTCAAATTGGCACTGTCCTTAGAAGACGACGTCGCTACTGCTATGGGTACTTTATTTTGGGAAAGGTGTTTAATTAAATTTTCTGCACCTGCAAAATATGCCCATTACACTATGCAC